TTTTTTTCGATTTTGAATCAAAATATAAGTCTACCTTTCAAACACTGATACGATATACATACAGATGATATATACACAGATACCTGACCTCAATGAAGAGATCTTATCTAAGGAACCTCTGATGTATGTGACCTGTTAGTTTTAAGGTCTTAGTCTTTGGTGAGGTGAAGCTTGTTAGTCTGGACACTGTCTTCCCATGGTTAAAGTGGATCTGTACTAGGATATCTATACATGGAATGTATTCCCTTGTGAAATGTTTCCCCTTCACCAGTCAAGAATATGCTGTTTGTAGGTTTTATTTGGCTTTTGCTATTTTGTGTTTTGTCTTGAAAATGATATTTGCTCAGTATAGATATCAGCTATCAGTTGTAGGGACTGACCAATAGAATGAATTTGTTTGATGAATAACTATACTTGTTACCTAAAATAGTTGTGTCATATGGCGGACCTGTGCTTGATTGGTTGAAACTTGAATGAAAAAGGTCCCTGTACCTAATCACTTATATTTGTGTAGACCTCCTGTTCTCTTTCAGTGTGTAATTGGCCGAGCAACAATATTCCGATCTTGAAAGCACTCCTCTTTGTCTTCAGTCTCGAACTAGATCTTAAATGTACAATCATTTCTGGAGCTGGAGATTATAGCTGCAGTATTGAATTGGCGGATGAATCCATCCAAGAAAAGCTCACAAATAATACTGTCGTGAAAATTACCTGGTATACAGTATTCACTTAGTGTAAATTGTGCGGTACATGTTAGTTTTGAAGGGAAAAGATTTTAAAGTTTGGCTTGTTTTCCTGATCAAAAGAAGGTGAATGTATAAGCGATGATGACTGAAGGACATGGTTTCATTTTCTTTTCTGAAAATTAATGATGACACTTTCCTTGGCTGTCTGAGCTTTACCTCGTCCTAAACTATTAGACATCAATAACAATCTTAATAGCAATCCTGTGATTAAACTATTGGGCCACCACTCCAAATAATTTTGTCATCCTTATCAAATTATTTCACTTTCTATTCTGAAAGTCACATCACATTTTCCTTGGCTATCTTGAACAAAATGCAAGTTGTCATCTCATGATTTAACACTCTCAGGCTACCTTTTAAATAACTCTTGACATTGAAATGAACTGAAAGCAGTTTTATTTGTACAAGGAGAAACTGATTTTTTTCGATTTTGAATCAAGATATAAGTCTACCTTTCAAACACTGATACGATATACATACAGATGATGTATACCCAGATACCTGATCTCGCTGTTACGATCTACATAAAAATGATGTATTCCCAAATACCTGAACTCACTGTTACGATATACATACAAATGATGTATACACAGATACCTGACCTCACTGAAGAGATCTTATCTAAGGAACCTCTGATGTGTGTGAAAACGTGTAGCTTTATAGAATATCATCTTCTGTAGGTAGTTAGTATAAGTTTAAAAAAAGAATTACAAGTGCATAAACATATATGTATGCATCTTTTTCTGGCCATATTAAAAAAGGTTTGCCATGGTACTCATGCCCAGTTCACCTTGTAGTAATGATGATGTTTTGTTTACAGTTCTACGAGCAGTTTGACGACACAGAGATTGGACCACTAGACCATGAAGACATAGAGGGTGCTGTCGACCAGAACAGCTACATGCTCAACACGATCCTGGAAGAGTTTGAGAAGCAACAAGACCCTAAGTAATTATTCAAAAATACAGATTGAACTTTCTGTTTTATCTTAACAATCTATATTTGCTTTAATTCAATGTGATATGGGTGATGACTCCTGAAAAACAGCAGTTTTATATAAGTCTGTGGGTTGATGTGGTCTGTTTGGTGGTCACTAGACAAGCATCAGTTTTAGAGTTGTCACCCTTTAAAAGACTTTTTGGGTAGGAGAGAGAGAGAGTAAGTGGGTGGGTTGGATGAGGGAGAGAGAGTAAGTGGGTGGGTGGGATGAGGGAGAGAGAGTAAGTGGGTGGGTGGGATGAGGGAGAGAGAGTAAGTGGGTGGGTAGGAGAGAGAGAGAGAGTAAGTGGGTGGGTTGGATGAGGGAGAGAGAGTAAGTGGGTGAGTGGGATGAGGGAGAGAGAGTAAGTGGGTGGGTGGGATGAGGGAGAGAGAGTAAGTGGGTGGGTAGGAGAGAGAGAGAGAGTAAGTGGGTGGGTTGGATGAGGGAGAGAGAGTAAGTGGGTGAGTGGGATGAGGGAGAGAGAGTAAGTGGGTGGGTGGGATGAGGGAGAGAGAGTAAGTGGGTGGGTAGGAGAGAGAGAGAGAGTAAGTGGGTGGGTTGGATGAGGGAGAGAGAGTAAGTGGGTGGGTGGGATGAGGGAGAGAGAGTAAGTGGGTTGGTGGGATGAGGGAGAGAGAGTGAGTGGGTGGGACCTTGAATATTGGTCAATTAGTCAAAGTAATTATAACTTTGAGAATTGGTTTGTAGATAAAATAGTAAATTAAAGGTAAATATTTCAAAGAACGGTTTATAAAGTTTTAACTGTTCCATATGGAATTACACATGCATGTACATTCATATACTACAGTCACATTTTGCTAAGGATCACCCATACTTTGAAAACAATTACCAAAATGCTAGAAAGGATATTATATTTTCCTTCCGTACTGTTTTGGGCAAATATGTTAGCCTTCCAAATCGTCCTGTGTGGGTATGTTCAGTTAAAGCGCATCTAGGAGAATAAGTTTGAACGGAACTGTGTTGCATACCCTCATAAATGTTAAAAAGATGCATTTCAAACCTTATATTTGCGTTCTATTACATCCACTTTTATTATTTGAAATTAAGAAAAAAGTCTTTTTTTCACGATTAAAAGGGGGGGGGGGGGAAACGTCATGATAACAACAATAAATGATCAGCCTTTTTCGCAGGAAAGATGATGGGTTGTCAATGTTGACGAAATACACAGAGCAATAAACAAACAGTTCCGGGACGATTTCACCTGCTTTGCCACTTGCAACGGACGCTAGTGTAGAGGACAGCGAATTATTCTATTCTGTTGAAAAGGACCTAAATTAGGATCTAATAGCAGACACGCTTCGGTGGCCTGACATAAACATGATGTGCCTTGATTCAAAACCATAGTTATTCCATATTCTAGGGACACGTCTGTGGCGTCGCTGTCAGACATATTGGCTGGAGCACAGGAGTTCGTTATAAATGTCTGTGGCTGGAGTTAGCACACGACGTATTTTAGACGCTGAATATGCGGACTTAAATTTCTTTAAACAAGGTGATTTCTTGTTGATAATATCAAAAAAAGAATGTTTAAAATATATTTACATGTATTCTAACCTTTGATAAACAATGTGTGTGTGTGTTTCAAAAGCTAAGCTAGGCTAAGTAAGGCGTTGTTCAAATTGTTAAGGAAATCAATTTGATGAATATTCTTTGCTAGTTTTTGTTTTAATATGGCACAAAGACGAACCAGACATCGGTGAAATGAATAGGGGCATCGGAATGCTGCAAGGGTAACCCTTTTCCTGTGGCTCATTTTCCTACTGTAATTACGATTTTTGGAATTTTTGCATGTTGATGAATTAAAAGAACAACAAATTTTCAAAAATAATCTCAGTAAACCAAATAAAATATCTATTTTCACATCTGCCTAAAAATAAAAGTGATCCTAAGCAAAATGTGAGTAGTATATTAACAATATGTTTATTTTATTTTTTTTTATTTTTAGTGTGTTGATTTAATACGTATAATTGAAATATGTATAAAAATCAGTTAAAAAGTAAGGGAGATATATTCAGGCTCATGGGAGTCTTATTTTCTTAAAATTTGCTAACAGTCATAAATGTGTCTATTGTTGTGTCCCCCTGCAATGCAAGGTGACATATAGGTATTACTTTGTCAGCGGTGTCGGTTGCATCGTCTGAAACAAGGTTTCCGTGCGATAACTCAAGTTCCCTTTAGTACACATATTGCATACCAATATAGCTCAAACGAGTTCGCATTTCAGAAGTTTACATGGATTTTTGGTAGAGTTATGCCCCTTTTATTGCCAAATAAGGGCGTTGTGTAGAAAATGCAAGAACTTTTTTGTTTTAATCAATTCCTTTCAACTTTTGTATGGTAATGCTACAAGCATTAATGTTCAACATATATTGTGGGGTTTTCTGTCGAGTTTCAACTTTCTGCGTTTTGGCATATCACACTTCATTGTTTTTGCCAAAAAAAAATGCTTGTTTATGTGATAACTCAAGCCAAAACACTTTTCTCACTTAAAGCGTTGAGCAGGCGATACATTCACTCCTATGGAATTCTTGTTGTTACCTAAAGACCAAAACCTTTGAACATATTGTTGTTTATGATTTTCACTAATGTTGTATACTGATGTCACTGTTGTAGGAAGCTTAAGGATGTTGTGGATGAGAATATCGGGGAGGAAGTGGATGGCAAGAACGATGAGTCAGAGGACGACGATGATATGGTAGATGTGGAGGTGCAGGAACCTGGGGAAAAGTGGGACTGTGAATCTATCCTTAGTACGTATTGGACGCGGGGGTTTAACTAAATCTTGTAGTATGGGAACTATTCCCAGCATGTAATCCACTCAGGGTTCTAAATAATACTGGTGGTGTCGAAACCATTCACTAAATAAACATGTTGTAGTGTTTTAACAGGGTTCATGCAGGCCTTGAATTTAACAAAAATGTCCTGAAGGGGTCGGATTGAGCCTTGAATTTGACTAAACGATCATTAAAATATGGCTGTATATTTTAGTGGTGTTATGGTGTCATTGTCATAAAAATGAATTCAGAAACTAAAAGGAAATGAAATGTTTGTTACGAGTAAATTTCTAGATTTCCGGAATATGTGGGTGTCTGGTGAGTTTAGAGCCACACAGGGTACACATATGGGTCTATGTTCTTTGAAAAATTGCAAATTTTGGGAGATTTTAGGCCTTTATTATACTTAAAAAGTCCTAAAAGGTAAAAAAAAACACCTTGAATTTCATAGTAAAATTCCTGTATAAACACTGTTTAAATGAAAACTGATGATATGTATCCATTCTCAACATGTTATCAACCCAGGGTTCTAAATAAAACTGTTACAAGACAAAGCTTAGATTGTCTTTGTGGCTGAAGAAAAAGTTTCTATTTGATGGAATTATAGTTACTATAAACTTACTTTTCAGGCACATATTCAAACATATACAACCATCCAAAGTTGATCGAGGAACCAAGGAAGGTATGTAAAATATCTTCTCCTGATCTCAACTGCCTGCAGAGAATCATGTAATAGGATGTTTTAAGTTGTTTACCTGAAACTGAATTTATTATTTGATATTGAGAACTTAAGTCTTTAAACTAAATGATTTCTTTTGATGTGAAAGACGGGTCTCAGCTATTTCACTATTTGAGATATTCATTATACTAGTAGGTAACTTACGATTGTGTATGTACATATTGACCGCACAACTCGAGGCAAGATAAAGCAGTGAGACTTTTATATGGTACTTTTCATATGTAATATAGCCATTTAAAATAGTAATAACCTGTGAAAATCCATCTTTAGATATTTACTTAGGTGTTTAAGATTTGTTTTCTTGTAAAGGTATCTGCTTGGAACTTAATTAAGACGGGACATCTACACTTGACCTACCTAGCAACAGAGTTTCATGTTCAGGAATTTGATGTCAATGAAATGTCTGGAACATTTATATAGGACTACTACACATACAATTAGAAAGTAGATTTACTGTTAACTTGGGATTTTCATATTTTTTTTTTTTCCCCATTCAGTTGTATAAAAGACCGAAATCCAAGACTTGTTTCAAGATTAAAAGATTACTTTATTCTGCCAAATATTGTCTGACATTCTCTTGCCATAACCTTGTACATGTACCTATTTCAGGAAAGAAAAATAAATTTAACCTCCCGGCTAGGCATTCCAAACGAATCACTCAAGAAGTCAGGATTGACACAGAAACAGATAGAAAAGTCAGAAAGGGATGCCAGACTGGCAGACAAGGCGAGTACATACCGACCGAAGGATGAAACGCAGCGAGAGAAGAAGGAGAGGAAACAGGCAGTTAAAGAGGAGAGAAAGGTAAAGACCTCACAGTGAACTCTTTGTGTACAAAACAAATAAGAAATACAACGTTGATAGGTCTCAATAAAAATTTAATAAAAATAAAATTTGTAACCATGGCAACATCGAGCACAAATACAGAGTGTCACTTATATGATAACTTCAAGTACAAATGTTGTAGGATGAGGAATAGTGATAAAGATAGTGTCCTCACTGGAGCTCGAACCCGCGACCCTTTGCTCTCCAACCCGATGTTCTACCGCTGAGCTAAAGAGAAATTCCCTAAAACCTTACGCTTGTAAGGCAACCTAACCAATACACCTCTTTTAAACAAATACAATATAAAGAAATCTCCATTTTGCACTGTTTTCTTAATTATTAGGGTTGTCAAACCGGATGAATTTTAGTTACCAGTTACTTATAAAATCTTCCAACCGAGTAAGTGGTCAATCAGTTTGGTTATCAAACACTTAACAACTACAAATACATGATATGTTTAGCTAAGGTGATATTAAACGTATATAAAATTAATAGGTATTAATTAGCAAAATATTTTAATCAAGTGTTTCAAGCTCTCAACACCTAATTGTAGGAAATACATACATGTAACCTCAGTCAGTATATATGGACCAATAGGAAATATATACATGTAACCTCAGTCAGAATATATGGACCAATAGGAAATACATACATGTCACCTCTGTCAGTATATGGACCAATAGGAAATACATACATATAACCTCAGTCAGTATATGGACCAATAGGCAATACATACATGTAACCTCAGTCAGTATATGGGCTAATAGGAAATACATACATGTAACCTCAGTCAGTATATATGGACCAATAGGAAATATATACATGTAACCTCAGTCAGTATATGGACCAATTCGTTCAGAATAAAGCGAATTGATTTCGTGACTGGTTGGCGGTCTTCCGACAGCGTAACTGGTTAACCAGCTAACCGTTGACAACCCTGTTGTTTATGCACGGTAAGTTAGTAACCTCAGTCAGTATATGGACCAATAGGAAATACATACATGTAACCCCAGTCAGTATATGGACCAATAGGAAATACATACATGTAGCCTCAGTCAGTATATGGACCAATTCGTTCAGAATAAAGCGAATTGATTTCGTGACTGGTTGGCGGTCTTCCGACAGCGTAACTGGTTAACCAGCTAACCGTTGACAACCCTGTTGTTTATGCACGGTAAGTTAGTAACCTCAGTCAGTATATGGACCAATAGGAAATATATACATGTAACCTCAGTCAGTATATGGACCAATAGAAAATACATACATGTAACCTCAGTCAGTATATAGACCAATAGGAAATACATACATGTAACCTCAGTCAGTATATGGCCTAATAGGAAATACATACATGTAACCTCTGTCATTATATGGACTAATAGGCAATACATACATGTAACCTCAGTCAGTATATGGCCTAATAGGAAATACATACATGTAACCTCTGTCAGTATATGGACTAATAGCAATACATACATGTAACCTCAGTCAGTATATTGACTAATAGGCAATACATACATGTAACCTCAGTCAGTATATGGAACAATAGGAAATACATACATGTAACCTCAGTCAGTATATGGCCTAATAGGAAATACATACATGTAACCTCTGTCATTATATGGACTAATAGGCAATACATACATGTAACCTCAGTCAGTATATGGTCTAATAGGAAATACATACATGTAACCTCTGTCATTATATGGACTAATAGGCAATACATACATGTAACCTCAGTCAGTATATGGGCCAATAGGAAATACATACATGTAACCTCAGTCGGTATATATGGACCAATAGGAAATATATACATGTAACCTCAGTCAGAATATATGGACCAATAGGAAATACATACATGTAACCTCTGTCATTATATGGACTAATAGGCAATACATACATGTAACCTCAGTCAGTATATGGGCCAATAGGAAATACATACATGTAACCTCAGTCGGTATATATGGACCAATAGGAAATATATACATGTAACCTCAGTCAGAATATATGGACCAATAGGAAATACATACATGTCACCTCTGTCAGTATATGGACCAATAGGAAATACATACATGTCACCTCTGTCAGTATATGGACCAATAGGAAATACATACATGTAACCTCAGTCAGTATATGGACCAATTCGTTCAGAATAAAGCGAATTGATTTCGTGACTGGTTGGCGGTCTTCCGACAGCGTAACTGGTTAACCAGCTAACCGTTGACAACCCTGTTGTTTATGCACGGTAAGTTAGGATATTAATGGTTTGATAGGCTGTTAATTAATGTTGTACAACTGTAGATTTATTCAAACTGCAAAGAAAATGATATGAATGACATTTTTACCTGTTTTTGAAAAAGTGTTTCGAAGGTATCTCATCTTTCGTTCTTTAAATTTTCAGGAGAGAAGACAAGAGAAAAAGGCGAACAAGAAAGCGTTTACAGAAGAAAAGATTCGATTAGAAAAAGAACTGAAAAATTTAAAAAACAATTTACAGGGTGTGAAAATTGTCTGAGAAAATATATAATGATTTTGTCAAAGTCATTGGCAGGACAGCTTCAAAGTATCGTTCACCTAGTTGATGTCAGTCAGGTTGGGAGGGTACTGATTTTGATGTCGCAGATGGAATACAAAGTATCGTGCACCTAGTTGATGTCAGTCAGGTTGGGGGGTACTGATTTTGATGTCAGTCAGGTTGGGGGGTACTGATTTTGATGTCAGTCAGGTCGGGAGGTACTGATTTTGATGTCGCAGATGGAATACAAAGTACACTATTATATTGACTAATAGGTGTCCATATATTTAAGATGCAAACATTTGGTACAATGATTTTAAATAAGTTTCAGTGATACAAGAGTTGCTTCCCTTTATCAGTATCCAACTGTTTTGAGACCCTGTGATAAACACCCAAACACTTTATCGTTCATAACATAACCATTCATCAACTTTAATAGCTGCATCGCCCGAGGTAAAAAATTACAAGTGTTCCAACATGAAGGAGACTACACTTTGTTTCCTATGTAGTGTGTACTGACCACCGGTCAAACTTCAGACTGGAGGAGACATCAATCCACTTCCTGTGTAGTGTGTACTGACCACTGGTCATACTTCAGACTGGAGGAGACATCACTCCACTTCCTATGTAGTGTGTACTGACCAACGGTCAAACTTCAGACTGGAGGAGACATCACTCCACTTCCTGTGTAGTGTGAACTGACCACTGGTCATACTTCAGACTGGAGGAGGCATCCCTCCACTTCCTGTGTAGTGTGTACTGACCACCGGTCAAACTTCAGACTGGAGGAGACATCAGTCCACTTCCTATGTAGTGTATACTGACCACCGGTCAAACTTCAGACTGGAGGAGACATCACTCCACTTCCTGTGTAGTGTGTACTGACCCCCAGTCAAACTTCAGACTGGAGGAGACATCACTTCACTTCCTGTGTAGTGTGTACTGACCACCGGTCATACTTAACACTGGAGGAGACATCAGTCCACATCCTGTGTAGTGTGTCCTGACCACCGAGTGTGTCCTGACCACCGGTCATACTTAACACTGGAGGAGACATCAGTCCACATCCTGTGTAGTGTGTACTGACCACCGAGTGTGTACTGACCACCGGTCATACTTAACACTGGAGGAGACATCAGTCCACTTCCTGTGTAGTGTGTACTGACCACCGGTCATACTTAACACTGGAGGAAACATCACTCCACTTCCTGTGTAGTGTGTACTGACCACCAAGTATGTACTGACCACCGAGTGTGTCCTGACCACCGGTCATGCTTAACACTGGAGGAGACATCACTCCACTTCCTGTGTAGTGTGTACTGACCACCGGTCATACTTAACACTGCAGGAGACATCACTCCACTTCCTGTGTAGTGCGTACTGACCACCGGTCATACTTAACACTGGAGGAGACATCACTCCACTTCCTGTGTAGTGCGTACTGACCACCGGTCATACTTAACACTGGAGGAGACAAAACTCCACTTCCTGTGTCAATGTGGTTTTCCAGATATATGATTAATGTCAAGTAAAATGCATACAGATGCTGTTCATTATGTGTTTTGTATATAAGCTGGTGAGAGTGTGATGAAAAGTTACATTTTGTATGTATAGCGAGTGTGTAAGTGAGTGACTAAAGGAAGGTTCTGTTTATTTATTTTAACACTGTATGTCTTGACATTATTATATGTGTTAATAAAGTGACTTTTATATAATTTATTTTATTTTCATCTATATCTACATTTGCTCTGTGGCCTTGCCTTCAGTACACAGAGATGCAGTTACGTGTTGTGAGACTGTAACTCAGCTGGTAAGGTGATCAATATTCTGACATACTGAAAAGTGATGTGAAATAATGAAATAACTCTAAAAAACTTAAAACTAAAAATAAGAAGTAAATGTTATAATAATGATGTGGTACTTCAAAACACTCATTCAACCCCGACATTTCCTTACACAGTGGGGGAACAAAGACATCCTAACACAGTGGGGGATGAAAGACATCCTTACACAGTGGGGGATCAAAGACATCCATACACAGTGGGGGATCACAGACATCCTTACACAGTGGGGCATCACAGACATCCTTACACAGTGGGGGATCACAGACAGCCTTACACAGTGGGGGATCACAGACATCCTTACACAGGGGGGGATCACAGACATCCTTACACAGTGGGGGAACAAAGACATCCTAACACAGTGAGGGATCAAAGACATCCTTACACAGTGGGAGATCAAAGACATCCTTACACAGTGGGGGAACATAGACATCCTAACACAGTGGGGGAACAAAGACATCCTTACACAGTGGGGGATCACAGACATCCTTACACAGTGGGGGATCAGACATCCTTACACAGTGAGGGAACAAAGACATCCTCACACAGTGGGGGAACAAAGACATCCTTACACAGTGGGGGAACAAAGACATCCTTACACAGTGAGGGAACAAAGACATCCTAA